CCAGTTGGTACCAGTAGACCAGCCAACTGAGAAAACTTTGACAGGTCAGCATCTTCCCCACTAAAGCTGAGAGGATCTGTACTTTTTAAAAAAATTACAGACACTATTTCTGAATTTGTGTCTCTTCCTATAAATTAGCATATGCAAATATTGAGCAAAGTTGTGTCTTCTGCTCTCACCTTGGTGATGCAACTTTTCTTTTTTTGGTGCTTTATAAGCTGGTAGCCTGACTGGGCTGCTTGCACAGAAGGTGTAACCAGCAACTTTTGTCTGTTTATTTGCAAAACTGTTCAATGGAGTGCTTCTCAAGTGTGGCCTTAGTGATTACTTGTGGCCACGATCTGTCTTCTCCAGGCAGTTGCACTAGCAGCCACCACTAGCATTACTCAATCTGCATGCATAGCACATGCCAAGTTGCAAAATACTGTAGTGGATTTGTTTTTCTGTTTATTGTTAAAATAAACAATGTGGTAAGTAAATATTGAGGGTCCAAGCTGAGGTACCAAAAATAAAACTTTAACCCATTAATTGGAATTCAGCAACTTGTTTTTCATTTCTAAATATGTTTGTCCAAGAACTGGGACAAGATGTTACTGGAAAAAAGAATTTGGGTGTCCAGTGGAATCTTCATATGACAGAGGCCTAACATTAGGATTGCTTGGCATTTTTAATTCCACATCCAACCCAGCGATTTCACAAACCCGTCACTTGAAAAACAAAATAAGGACAATGATCTTCAACAACTGGATAAAATGTTGATGAATATGCAGGAAGTTATGATGGAGCAGGGGGATTAGACATTCTCCTCTAAGAGTGTGGTAGAGGACTGAGTGATAACTGAATAGGTCTCCAATTGTGGGACAATTCTACGTGCTTTGACATGTGCAGAATCCCCCCTTCAGATCTTATGACTGTGGGAAGGATGGGGTAGAGCAGGTGGAACAAGTGCACAGGGGACATTGGGTAAGAGCTGTGCATGTGCCCCCGCACCGGTTACATGCTTATACCTTCCATACGCACAAACATGTTATCTGAATAGAACTATAGTCTTGTATAGATGCACAGGTCTAAGAGGGAAGTGGGCAAGCACTTTAGGTCAAAAAAGCTCTGTGAAGAAGGAAACTGAATACATTGTCACTGAAGTAAGATATTAACGATGGCGGTCACCTTGATGGATGACCTCTGTCTAGAGAGTGATGGGATTATGGTCCTATTGATATTTCAAGATCTCTCAGCAAGTTTTGATACATGATATATTATTGGGTTGGCTTGGATGCTGGAGGCACAGTCATAGTGTAATTCTCATCTTACTTGCAGAGTAAGTTTCAGAAAATAAGCACTGAAGTTTGAACTCAATGGCATTTGATTTACAAGCTTAACAAGAGTCCTCCATCTTTTTTGATATCTATGTGAAACCATGCAATGAAATCATCTAGAGATCAGAAATGAAATGTCAACAACATGCTGATGAAACCGTTCAATTTTTCTTTATCATCTAAGTTGGGCTCTGAAGGCTTCTCTCAAGTGTCTTCTCTCAAAAGGGCTGGATGAGGGCCAATAAAATGGGCTGAAATGTATTTCCTTTCCAAACAACTGCTGCTATGTAAAGTCATCAAAAGCTGGAGATGTAGAATCCAAATCTACGCATTTCGTTATGAAGGAAATACCTCTAAATCTCCTTTAAAAATTTGTAGTGTAGATAAATAGCGAGGCAGGTGAGTGAGACTGATGCTGCAGTTAGGTACAAAATTAGTCAAGGTGTCTAAATCAAGGTTTAAATATTATTCTAATATGTTTGTTTTTAAAAGTTAGTCATTCTACATTGGCATTTTTTTAAAAAAACATAGCTAAAGCTCCCACTGATATGGCTTTGTTCGCTTCCAAGCACAAAATATAAATACACTCCTGAAAAACAAAAATGAAGCATGTTCAGCATACTCCCTTTCTTTTTAAGTGTTCAAGGAATATGGCTGGCATGAGAGAAAGCACACCTCCGGGCCTCATACTACTCAGGTTTGGCACATACACAGATGGCAATACTTAGCACCTTCCCTAGTCTGTGGAAGGGACTTCAGGAGGTGTGAAACAGTGTAAACCATGAGATGCCTGTTTTATCCTCTTGCCAGATGCTTCCTGTGTGTATTCCTGAGTGTGCTCAGCCTACACACATGTGTAGCTCTCCTCTTTCTGATGGAGGAGAGATTCTTATGGCATTAGAAATTAAGTTGTAGTTTTGGTTTTTCATCACAATCCTTAGTATCTCGGGGGATTGCCTGCAGCTGAGGACCAGAGAAACCAGGGCATTTCGATCACTATTGGCTGAAACACTGGCCACTTCTGTACACAATTAGAAACATGTGAATGATCATCACAGTTGCCATACCATCCTTCTCAGTTGTAGGAAGTCCTCGGCAATATTTTTTAATAAGCTTTCTGCTTCCATTTCTGATTTTTCTCCTGCATGAAATATGAAAGTCCTCTTGTTATTACAGTCATAAACCAGTTACAGAAATTTCAACAAATTAATTACATGAGCTTTTCTTAATCAATCAACACAATATGTACATATCTGCATACAAACAAAACCAATAGCTCTATAGGAAAAAACAGGAAGTTATGTTTTTAATGTGATGTGTATAGGTTGTAGCGAGTATTATGTTTAGCAGCCTTGTATTGCAGTGGTTAAGCTACAGTACTACAGTCAAGACTCTGCTCATAACCTGGGTTTGAGCCCAAAATCATCCCAAAGTTGCTTCAACCTTCCATCTGAGCTTGGTTAAATGAATGTCCAGCTTGTGGGGGGTGGGGGAGGCAGACACAATGTGTAGCCTCCATAATTAAATTGTAAACTGCCCAGAGAGTGTTTTAAGCACTATGGGATGGTATATGAGCATCACATTTTGCTTTCATAGAACCTTACCTCAACATCCTTGGATGCTAGGCTCCTACAATCTTGTGATGAGCATCTTGGTGCTGCTATGAGCTACTGTACTATGGTTCAGCATCTCTCCCTTTTTGTATTTGAAATAACAAATCCAAAACTTAGTTCTTACTGGAGAAAGATCTCATAGTTTGAGATTCAACCACAATTTTAGCATGTCACTGTGTAAAGGACCATGCAAGTCACATTATCTTCTTGCAATGGCCATGACTCATGCTATGTCTTCCTTTTCCTTGTGGTCCCTTTAATTCTTCTTCACAAAGTTCTTGTCTTGCTCATAAAGATACATTTCTAAGGATATAAAGGGAACAATATTTCTAGGTTAGAAATAAAAACAAATGTGATTGCTGTACTGTTGACTTTGCTGTTGGGACTGCTTAGAGAGACAACTATATTGCAGCACTGGTAACTAGCATAGCAGCATCCTGAGACAGTGCACCATGGAATTTGTATATGAACATCTGCTTAAAAATCTATAGGTCAACTTATCATGCTTATGTTGTACTTACAGTGCTAATTGTTTAAAATGCAGTACAATCCAAGGAAGATATTTTAGGGACAGTATTATCTTGGTCAAGTTGCATGGACACATATTTCAGTGGGGTGTTTGTCTTTATATGGTGAAATATACACTGGATTGAAGGAGTTATATACTGCATGCTGTGTCAGGATCATCAGAGACCAGATACAGGGAAAATGTGAGAGGGAATAAATAATACTGACATTTTAATTTTAGGAGGAAAGGCAGATAATTGCAATGGATCAGTTCCCTTTTGAAGAGAAATGAGACATTGTTTTCATTAAAAGGGGAGATTTTTAATTATGAATATTTGAATCTCCATTATTATTTTTCTCAGAAAAAATAAAGATGTGGAATAAAGATATTTATATTTTCTTGGGAAAAGAAGTTTTTTTGGGGGGGAAGATATCTATTTTGCTTGGTTTCATCCATGGTTAAGTGTACATTGGCACTGCTTGCAGAGAAAGACTGTGGCTGAAGAAAAATGGAACTTCTGTGAACTATAGGCTACAGGGGAGTACACAGTGCTATCAAAAAGACAAAAAAGAAAATGCTAATAAACTATTGTGGTGCATGAAACATCAGCCTCCACACTAGTACAACACAGTAGTTCTGCTTAATTCCTAGAGTAGAGTTTCTAAACAACTCTATAGGTGTTTCATTTTTGTTTTTTGTTTTTCAGAAAAAGGGTCAATGTTGGACACCATCAATACCAATGTTATACTTCATGCTGTGTTTTTTTTCCCTTCTGTTTTTTAAGTGACATGGGACTGTTTGCTCTTGGGTTTTGTGCTCTCCTCGCTTTTCAGGTGTGCCTAGTGAATAGTTGGCATCAGTATTCCCTTTTCTGGGCTAATTTGGTTTTGTTTTGATTTAAAGTCTCCCCCCCTCCCCCAGTACTGTTGGCAGCAGCTCTGCGTCATGCTTTTTCTGGCTTCCTTTAAGGAGATTTACCTTTGCAAAAGTGGTATGCCTCAAAAATTTCAAATGACAGCTATGTTTATTTTGAAAGATCTCTACGTCCCATTGAAATACATACATGGAGGACCCCACTCACCAAGTCAGTGTGGGTGCTTGGAAAACACACAGAGAGAAGAGAGACAGACAGTCAGAAACAGAGACAAAAACTTCCTCTCCCTCCAATTTTAAAAGTGATAGCATATCAGAATAATAATTAATTAGATGGAAAAGGAAAAAAGTTTATGACAGCTAAATTATAAATCCACTTTTTTCCATTGGAATTATTCCAAAATAGATGGAGTGTGAATTGCAGCCCATGATATAAAATATATTGCAAAAGGAGATATTAAAAAAAATCACTAGCAGATCACAGTTAAGAGATTTATGATGCTAAAACTCTTTCATATATGATTGAGATGTGAATAGCCTTGGAACACCACCATGATCACTTTATCTAGTTTGGAGTCTTGGAGGTATGGCATCCTCCAAGTGGATGATGGTATCACAGAGAGGAAACAAATTACCTCCATGGAGGTATCACAGAAAGGAAACAAATTATGAACTTGGTTGTGCTTTCAGGTAACTGTTTACTGGATCAACCACGAAAACAGATCTTGGGCCCTGAGGAACTTCCAGGACAAACATATGATGCTATTCGTCAATGCAAGCTGGCATTTGGGCCTGAATACACAGTGTGTCCTGGAATGGATGTGTGCTCTCGTCTGTGGTGTGCAGTTGTTCGCCAAGGTCAAATGGTGTGTTTGACCAAAAAACTCCCTGCTGTGGAGGGGACACCATGCGGAAAAGGAAGGATCTGCCTCCAGGGAAAATGTGTTGATAAAACAAAGAAAAAATATTATTCGGTATGTTGCTACTTTAACTGTCAAACCATGTCAACTAAACAGAGTCTAATCATGCTTGGGCCTGTTTTGGGTGCTCATTCAAATGGAATCAGTTCTTGGTAGAAGAATATGTTAATTCTAGTCTCCAATGTTTCTGTATTTTGATCACACTGAATTGGAGTTCTCTCCTGCTCACTTGAGAGAATGACATCTCAGAGAATATATCTCCAGGTAGCCATCCAGCATATCGTGTTTCCCTGAAAATAAGACAGGGTCTTATATTAATTTTTACTACAAAAAATGCATTAGGGCTTATTTTCAGAGGATTTTTTTTCTTGTACAATAATCTACATTTATTCAAATACAGTACAGTCATGCCATCATCTTCTGGTTGCTGCACAATGGTGGAGGTGGGGTTTCAGTTAACTGGGGCTTATTTCAGGGGTAGGGCTTATATTATGAGCATCCTGAAAAATCATGCTAGAGCTTATTTTCAGGTTAGGTCTTATTTTCAGGGAAACAGGGTAACATTCTGTAAAAATGCTTGCTTCTGATGTCCGTATTTTTACACTTTATAATTACCTCATTGTTGTAAATATATACATGCTGTCCTTCATTAAACTTATCAGAGTAGCTTATACAGTGGTGCCTCACTTAACGAGCGCACCGTTTAACGACGAATCCGCATATCGACCTGTTTTTCGCGGTCGCTAATGCGATCGCATTGCGATGTTTAGATAGGCTAAACATCGCATTGCGATCATTTCTGCACCCAGTGGCCATTTTGGGAACAGCTGATCGGCGGTTCCAAAATGGCCACCGGGTACAGAAAATGGCCGCCTGCACCATTTTCGCACCCTGCCCTTGCTTACCGAGGGCGCGAAAATGGCGGCGCTATGGAGAAACTTCGCAGAACGGTGAGTTTAAGAGCCATAGGAACGCATTAAACTACATTTAATGCGTTTCTGTGACATTTTCCATTCCGTATAGCGGTGTTTCCCCATAGCGACGGTTAATCCGGAACGGATTAACCTTGCTATGCGGGGCACCACTGTATTTAAATAAAATAAAATGTTTAAGATTACAAGAAAATAATGAATCTATAGAAATGGACTAAAACCAGCAGATCTGTAAAAGCCACATGCAAGTAATGTACAAGCCAAAGTAAACACAATCATCAAATGCCTAAAACATTAGATGTCCTAAGCACACTTCTGTTTCAGCACATAAAATTAATATGGGCAGTTCTTGAGTACTTTGGACAGTCCTTGAGAATTCTCTTCACGTCTTCAGTTCATTTATTCTTCTGTAGACTATACAAGGGAGTGAACATTTCATGCTGAAGCCAATGGTTACTCCCAAAATGGATAGAACCTTTGATTCAATGGAAATTTGGTAAATCAACACTTACATAAATTTAATTGTCTCAGTGGATCTTCTCTACACCCAGATATTATTGGATATAGACCTTACCCAACTAGATTTCAGTAAAGAGAAAGAAAAATGTGTGGAATACAAGAAGAAGGAATGCAGGCAAATTTGAGATGTGATATTCTTTCCCAGTTGGTTATGGCCTTTTATAAGGCATTGTCATTTATCTTTCAGGCTTCAAACCATGGGAACTGGGGGTCGTGGGGGCCTTGGGGACAATGTTCTCGAACATGTGGAGGAGGTGTTCAGTTTGCCTATCGTCACTGCAATAACCCAGCCCCTAGAAACAACGGACGATACTGCACAGGAAAGCGAGCCATCTATCGCTCTTGTAACGTCATGCCTTGTCCTGCCAATGGTATGTTTCCATAAGTCAAAAGATAATAGCATCTGCTATTCTTATTTAATACTAAACACTTGTCATTTATCATAGGGTGGATAGAAAGATAGATCTGAGGCTATTTGCAGTATCCTGCATGAACTGCAGTTAGGTCAGCAAAAAATTCTGACTCCCACATTGATACTGGAAGTGATGGGGCTAATTCGGAAACAATAACTTCAGCCTTAACATCTGCTTTGGCTGAATAGAGGGCTTCCAAGAACCACATGAGCCTTCAGCTCACAAGTTGCCCACTTATGCTATGATACGTATCTCACTAGATCATACCATAGGATGAGCATCATCAGGTTTGAGCAGGCAAGAAAGTTTGGTTTGTCTGGACTTGAGTTTCCTGTGTCTTAGCAGGCAGTCCTGGATCTTTGAACATTGATATTTCATATTCAAACTACCATACATTTTATATGTATGTTTGCACTGAGACAGTACCCTTACGTTCATGAAAATTAATGAAAACATTATCTTTCTCAGCTAAAGCTTTTCGCCAGGAACAGTGTGAAGCAAGAAATGGCTACCAGTCAGATGCAAAAGGGGTCAAAACCTTTGTAGAATGGGTCCCCAAGTATGCTGGAGTGTTGCCGGGAGATGTTTGCAAGCTCACCTGTCGAGCCAAAGGAACTGGCTACTATGTTGTTTTCTCTCAAAAGGTAACAGTAACTTCAATAACTACTTGTCTTTCAGATGCATACGGATTTGAATTTTGAAGTCTTCTTTGTGAAGGCCCACAGTAAAGAACAGAGAGCATTAAACTCAATATAAACTAGCCCTTTCCAAAATAATATAGGGACTAGAAAGAAAATGATCTTTACTTTTTTCACTCCTCTGGATTTTGCAGTGCATGTGTTAAATTACACACACACACACACACACACACACACACACACACACAAAATAGCTACACTGTGAAAATGTCTGCATTAAAAAGTCTGTATTAGGAAAGAATAGCATATGACAAAGCTTAAATTGGGGGAAATTGCTTGCAAGCATGTTTATATTAAGGAAAAAGCATACGAAACATAGACAAATACTAATGCACAAGTAGGACTGAAAAAAAACAAATACTCTGTGCATGTATTTGTATGAATCATGAAATGCACTGAGGGTGAAATTTGTTTTCAGAAGATAATGAATCATTCATAGTCATATCCTGCTCACTATGGGCAATCTTTTGTTGTTGTAAGGTGCACTTGTACTGATCAAGATAGGAAAGAGTTACATTGGTTCATGTTCTTGTGTATGTTCCTCTATAGACTCCTTCCATCATAACACCATTGCTGTGATTTTGAAGGTTCCTAAGTCGTTGGTCACCCACTTGGTGGTGAAGAAAAACTAGAATATTTCTACCCTTGAAATGGTATTTCCCAGCATGGGCCTCTGCAGATATTTTAGACTATAATGCTCATTAGCCTGACCAACATGGCCCATTGGCCATCAGGGTTGATGGGTGTTGTTCAGGGTTGATGGGAATTGTTCAAAATATGTGAAGAGTGACATGTTGGGGAAATCTGTTACAAATGCAGAAGATTGACATCAGTTCATAGAACTCTGTCAGTTTCCATTCATCTATCATTCAGAAAAAGAACATCTTGCAATGCACATTTTAATGACCAATGGCTTTATTGAATAGGTGACTGATGGAACGGAGTGTAGGCCATATAGCAATTCAATCTGTGTCCGTGGCAAGTGTGTGAGAACGGGATGTGATGGCATTATTGGCTCAAAGCTCCAATACGATAAATGTGGCATCTGTGGTGGAGACAATTCCAGCTGCACAAAAATTATGGGAACCTTTAATAGAAAGAGGTAAGACTTTGTTCATCATCCTTGTTTTATCCGGGGAAAATAATGTTATTTGCAATAGTGAATGCTGTTTATGCAGGAGTCAGAGAAATGGGATACTGAGGATCAAATTTCTATGATATATATACAACTAAGAATATATCATTCTCCACTGAGATGATCACATATGTGCCTATCTTAGTCCATGTGCATGGGGCACATTGCACTTGCATCATGGAACTTGCACATAATGAGACACATCAATTTGGCCATCACCATACTCCATTCATTCAACATACAGAGAATTCCTCAAACATCTGAAGGCTTGTCTTCATCTAAAGCTTTCTAAAGTTATGAATCTAGCAGCTGAGAAAGTAAATACCAAATAAGCATATAATTTGGTTATACTATGCTGTTCACAATAAAGATAACCTCAAATTAGTCACTAGTCAAATTAGTCTTTAGATGACGTCTCCCATTACCTGGAATATGGCTAGCTTGGTTAGTGACTGACTTGTGAGAGCTGTAATCCAAAACATCTGGAGGACCTCTGGATGGGCAATGCTGTTTTAGATGATTTGTTGTCATATGATTATTTCAATGCTACATATGCTAAAAGCATGTGGCTCTGCACACCATGGTTCATATATTCCCTCCAGTTCTGCAATAATATCTTCCTCATTTTTGAGGAGAAGGAAACACATGAACCAGGCATTATTGGGCACTTGTATGGACACTGTACTTTATGGGTTATGATGGAAAGAAATGGAAGATTTGCATTGCTCCTCTGCCATTCTTGTGTAGTTTTGCTCAGGTACACACCACCTCTGGCCTGATCCAAGGATGTGGAATTATCTTTTCTCCATGCAACCTGATAGAGCAGCTTGCTCTACTTTCAGTTTTTCCAAGTACCCATATGATCTAGTGATATGATTCCATTTCATTAAAATGGGAGAAATTCACAGCAATTATCTCCCTTTTTAGACTTCAGTCTAAAGGAGTGAATAATTCTGGGAGTTGTAAAAATCAGAACTAAGTCAATTTTGCTAATTCTGTTAGCTTCAGTAGATTTTGAAAGGATGCTCATTTAATCCTCACTCACATGTCCTTTCCTATGTTTCAGTAAGGGCTACACAGATATTGTGAAAATACCAGAAGGAGCAACACACATCAAAATAAGACAGTTCAAAGCTAAAGACCAGAGCAGATTTACAGCTTACTTGGCCCTGAAAAAGAAAAATGGTGAATACCTTGTCAATGGAAAATACATGATCTCAACCTCAGAAACCATCATTGACCTCAATGGAACTGTCATGAACTATAGCGGCTGGAGTCATAAAGATGATTACCTGCATGCAATGGGACATACAGGCACAAAGGAGATCCTTATAGTCCAGATTCTTGCAACTGATCCAACTAAACCAGTGGATGTCCGTTACAGTTTCTATGTGCCAAAGAAGCCGACCGAAATAGCAAACTCTGTAACTAGCAAGAGCAGTAGTAACAAACTGATAGCACCACTCACACAACCCCAATGGGTGACTGGACCATGGCTTTCTTGTTCTCGAACATGTGATACAGGCTGGCACACAAGAACTGTCCAGTGTAAAGATGGGAATGATAAATTAGCTAAAGGATGTCTTCTGTCTCAAAGACCTTCTGCATTCAAGCAGTGCTCACTCAAGAAATGTTAACCTGTGGTTGCAGGCTTCTTGACAAGGAGTCTCATTAAGTCATAGTCAACATAACTGGCATAAGATCTACAGAAGAAAGCCAACACTTCAAAATACTTTCATGTTGTCTGAAATTATGGGCAGAATCTGCCTGTTTGGACCAAATGAAGACATGCACTGCTCTGAGTGAAAGTGAGGAGATCTTAATATGTCAAATGCACTAAGCATTAGTTGTCACAAGCCCTTTGTATCTGCAAATAAGAAGAGGATAAACCAGTGAAGGGGTGATCATGGGATATCTCAAGGTTACAGAATCATCTCCCTTTTTTCACCTACCTCTTAACACAGTATGTCTTTAGAAAGTTGTCATACTTACCCATGATACCACAATAGCTTATTTTATACTGTTTGTAAATATGTTTGATTTTGGTATGTCATTTTATATCACTTGCTCTTCTTGGGAAAGAACAACAGTCTTTCTATATGACACAAGTGACTGACCAAAGTATGTCTGCAGTATTTTTTTTTTCAGAAAAAAAATTGCTGTGGATATTTTACTGGAAAATTAAGAGCTTGCTGCTTTTTAAAAAGATGTAATACATTTCTGACAACAGGAAATACATTTCCATTCTAGGAATTTCCTGACAACAGTTTTGTTCTATGTTAATGCCTTTCTAACAAGAAATATTCACCTAGGTGCATCTCTGCAGCAATAAAAGAAGCTGCTAAGAATGCTTCTTTAAAACAAAAAAGGGCATACTTTATTCAGTATTAGCATTTTAGAGAACAAAACAACAATAATGAAAAATGCTGAAGATATCCCAGTGTCAAATGTGCCGCTTTCTCTGTGGTACAAAGAGCAATGGCGAAGAACAGTAGGGAGGAACTCAATATGCAGGAAGTCTTTCTTATGTGAAAGGCACCATTCCCTTGTTAATTGGTCAGGGTTCTATGCCAGCAGTAGGAGGGTCTGAGGCTAGTGGTAGGTGAAGCCATCTTTTTTTTCTTCTTTCCTTTCAATTTATTCACTCCCTCTTACTCATTTCTCTTCCCTGCTGAAAAAGGCTACTGGAGAGGAGCAGATCACTCTTTGCCTGGAAAGGTCTGAACTAATTGTTTGCAGAGGAAGGTTGAAATTAGGCCAAGGATGGCATCTGGTTACTAGATCACAGGTTGCGCACCCCTGTTGCTAAGACAAGAATTCCATGAGGCTCCTGTTTGGAGTGTCTTCTAATTAAAAAATTCTGACACCTACTCATATTTTTTTTTCTTTGATAGTTCAGTGGCTACTAGAAAGCTGACAACATGTAATGAGTTTGCTATCTACTGAAAAGCTATGATGAAGCTAAAAATCATAGCAAATATTTTTTGAACACAGCAATATTTTGTATAGTACTTTTAATTCTGGAGTGCATTACACCACTCAAAAATCCCCAATTCAGAAAGCTGCACATGCTCATGAGTGAACATTGATATTGGGTGAACAAATTGCTCTATTATTTTAATGAAGGATAGGCAGTCTCTGCACATGTAGATTAAATCCTTCGATTAATGTGAAGGGGGCTTTTTTTTCCCAAGTGCAACTCAAAACTCTCAAGTCTGTAAATGGTGTATGGGTAGGGGTACCCATACACAATTTTTTTTTTTTGGCTGTGGATATTTTCATCTTAATTTCTTTTTATGAGAAAGGATAGTTTTAGTTTTATTTTTTGAAACATTGCATATTTTTGTAGATCAGAAATGTAATCCTAAACTCACTTACTTGGGAGTAAGCACTACTGAATTCAATAGGATTTACTTTTGAGTAGATATGTATAGGATTGACTTGTAAGGCCCACAAGAAAGCCAGACTCCATTCATAAGTCGTGGTTCTAGCCATTGTTCATAAAAGTATTTCCAAACAGCAAATGATTTCCCTTCAGAATTATAGGCGAATGATTTTTTTTCCTTTTAGAAAGGTAACATAAATACCTCATTTGAAATCTAATGAAATAAATTAACTTTTGGGTCATGTTTATATAATATGTATGAAATATTAAATAGGTATATAAATATGGATGAAAATAGATTCCACCTCTGGTCCCAGTGCCTTCCATAAATGTTATAAGTACAAGCAATTTTAACATTCAAATGAAACTTCCATGAGAATGTTGTTACAGATTTCAGCAGTATCAGGACCATATCTCAGTACTGAAATGTAACTTTTGTCACTGTTGTAATCTAAGATCCTTCAACATTTACATTTGCCTTCAACATCAGGTCCTGATATTGCTTTGGAACAATGCTCAGGATACATCATTCTAAGCATAGTATATATTTTCTGATAAAGAACATTTTAGGACTTAGATCTGGCTTGTGTTGTTAAACTGCTCAATTTATATAAGCTCTGTTTACTTGAGTGAGGCCCATAGCTCTGAGACATTTTGAGAATTAGACTCTGGGAAGAGTGTAAACATTTCAATACAATAACATTTTCACCTCAGTGGTGCCTCTGTTCATAAGACTGGATAAAGAGCAGTCATTTACAATAATTGACAGTAGCACTTTCACATTTCCAAATCATCACCAACAGGCACATAATTTAAGGATATTAAGTGCATTTATTAAATACACAACATAGAGATAAAAAACGTGTTTCTTTTTTTTTAAGTGTGATCTCCATGGAAAACACTTACTCTCTGATTCAGCTCTAGCCATGTGCAGTTCCATATGATTAGTTTGGAGCAGAAGAGGGCCACAACATAAACAGCAAAGAGTTCTTGCAGCACATTAGTTGTATGTTTTATATGGCCTATGCTTTCATGGACCGCAGCCCACCACATCAGATACTTTTAGCTTATCTGTGAGGCGCCATAGGCCTCTTTGTACAATTAGTTGCAGCACAATCTAGATGAGAATCCAAATCTAGATGTACTTCAGGATCCCTGAAAAGCAATGGGATGTGAATGAGTGAAATCCACATTCCTATGAATTGTTGTTTCAGGTTACTTATTACAGGTTAATTATTACATGTGCTTACAATCTCCTATGCACTGTAACACTATCTGTGATTCTGAGAGTGAGGAAAAAAATTAGTTCATGAATATTCTGTGGCTGAAATCCTATTGAGTAGCTACATTTGTGTAACTCAATGTTACACAGGTGGTCGCTGGAATAGCACCAAGGTAGAAGTGCTATTATATGAAGCATGTAGGTGCATTACAACAAGAACTGCATGCCTGAGCATCCAGTCCTTGCTACCTGGGCATGACATCCAACAAACTAACATCTACAGTACATATGTTTACATTATGTGGTGACATACTGTATAGGATTCCAGGCATATACCGTTCCATGTTTTGGAGGTTCCCTGATTAATATCCTTCAGCTTCTCTCTTCGTCTCATTAAAGAAAATCCACCCCAAGAAGATCCAGAGCTAAATTTATTAGTCCCAATTACAGTAGACCCACTGAACTGATGGATTGTGGTAATTTCTAATGATTTAATTGGTCAATTAAGTTTGGGCTTAGCAACTTAAATTAAAGCTCATCTTCCCATAGAGGGGGGGAAAGTACCCCTTTCTTTCATTTCCTCAGGATGTAGCTAGTTTCTCTGAGAAAAAGGAGGGAGACAATGCCAGGTTTTAAAAAACCAAACAGGAAACAAATCTGAAACTGGTCCAAAACTTCAACATGACTAAATTGTAATTTGACCATTTAGCTTATTTCAGGATTGCCCTAAACTCCTTATGAAGAGAGTCTGTGAGGTGCTAGAAATAGATGGCATAATATCAGTAAATCAGATTTCTCCTACACTTAGCTTTTACTAGTACATCATTGAAAACCTTTGACTATAGTGGAACATCATCTATTCTGGTGAAGGAACAACAGGACTCAAAGGGCTACTAAAGTTGTTAAGTCAGACACAGAGAATGGTCAACATACAAGGATTTCATTTACATGGCATGGGTAAAATAAGCGAGCACATAAAAAAGACAGGACAATAATGTGAATTTCACAGTTCCTCTGAAGTATGACCATCTGACATGTGTGACATGTGGTAATTATGGCTAATTTTAGCAAGAATTCAAAAAAAGGGGGAGGAGGTCTGTATGTTTTGGCCTGTATTACTACTTTTCTGTTTGATCTCCTTTTTCTACGCTGCTTTGTATGTTCATTAATGTGAAACTGGTGCCAATAGTGTCACTTTATAGTTTCTGTGTTTGAAGCAGGTTAGTCCCAAGGACTCATATCTGATCAGTGATTAGTTATTCACATTTTCTCCAAAACAACAAACTGAATGCTAAAATCACAATCCATGTCATTATTCTGAGTATTTCTGAATCGGGTATAGCCAGCCCCACTAACCTCAGCCATGAATATGGCAATGAATTTCCAAATTCTGCTTGAAATCTAAGCTTAATTCTGTAGACCTATTGAAAAGCAAATGAAAAACACTGAAATACAACCACTTGTCCATAGAAATTTTATCTTATGGAGAGGAAGTGGGGGGAAATGTTGGTAACTGATCACAAATGTAAGAAATAATAATTTTTAAAATATACACACTCACGCAAACATTAAAATAGCGACTTAGCACTGAAAAGAAATAAATAATTTATTGTTTTTACAAATTCGTATGTGAATGGATGTAATGAATTTATTTATTCTTATTTAACGTGAAATGCCAATTGTGCAATTCATATATATTTAAATTGTTTTGCTATCACTTTTTTGTCTATCTTTCCCACTTTTTTAATTTATACCTTATATTTGAATGGAAAGTACTCTGTGAATTTATCAACACACAGCACTGGTTGCTTTTATATTGTTTTGGGGTTTTTTTTATGGAATGTGTGTGTGTTTGTGAATGTGGTGCATGCAGTGTGAGTATGGTAAATAGTATGAATAAAAAATATTTGTGTGTATGGAAGTGTGGGTGTATAACATTTAAACCAACAATACTCCTGCCTGCACATATATGAAAGTGTCTACATATTTATATTGACATATATTTTTCAACAAAGGTTTCCTTTCTTAAGAAAAATTACATTGTACCACATTATTCTTACAGCTGCTTCCTTTTGGTTGACCTCACTTACATGAGCAAAAGCAATGTCTATGCAAGCTGTCAGTATAATTATCTTCATTGCTCTTAATAGGGCCTAAACAGGACTTCAGTCATAGCTCTAAAATCCTCAAATTACCCATAGAGAGAAGCCCAGTTGATTCAGTGCATTTTAAGCTTGTTGTGCCCATGTCTTAAAATGAGTCATTAAGTGTATGCACACCAATGATGGGGCAACATAGTTTTCCTGGCAAACTTGCACATCTCAATTTATTCTAGCATACATGCACAGCGATGTTTCTACTTCTTCCTCAGAACAGCTGTTTCAGATGACCTGATGATTAGAGATGTCTATCATCCATTAAACAAAACAGCTCCTCCGTTTAAAAAAAAGTATCAGCTTTTGGCATATCTTCAGTGAAAAACAGATGTGCAAATCAGGAGGGGGTGAGGAATCAAGAGATTGTGACTGAGGTATTCAGAGGGACTGAGACAAACTAAGAGTTCCAGTGCAAACACCACCAAATTTGTATGGCCCTCCATATCTTGGACTGTAACTCGTATCACCGATTATGTTAGCTACATCCAATGGGATTTGCAATCCAACAATAACTGGAGAATCACAGGATCCCCATCCTTGCCATAAATCAAATTGTACTGCAAATGTTGCAATGCCTGTGACACTTAATCTGAAGTAAATCTTGGCAGAGCTTCACAGCTTTAAGGGAAATTTCTCTGGTCCATGTCTGAAATAAGTAACAAGAATAGCACATATCCTATTAGTGATTCTGAAATATTTTCAATTTCGAAACTGCCAACCCTTTAACCATCTCCTTTTGACATACATAGTTTTATCCACAGAACTTGAAGGAACCACTACTTGGTCCAAACAAAATACCAGAAACAGTTCAGAGAGATTTGAAGAAGCGCAATGTCCAGAAGACCTAGATGCCACTCAGGCAATGACTGCTGTATAACTGAAGAAACTTGATTCCCAGGAAGTATACTGGGCACTACAAAAATATATAAACAAGAAATTCATATGATGGTAATAATCTTCCATACGTGTTGGCTTATGACAACACTCCCAGGTTTTTCTAAGTATAAAGTCCTCAGAAGTGATTTGTTTGTCCCTCCTGACAGCACTCTAACTATGAAGCTTAGCAAAGACTACAGACGTGGCAGGGAACCTCCTCAGTCACATGTGCTCTGGGGGATTTTGGCCGGCCCTTCTTCTGGGAGGCACAGTGGGGTTTTGAATTCCGGTTCCCTATGCAGCCAGGTACTTCAGCTCATCAAACAATAGATTAATACTGCGGAAACATCTGCATAGAACATTTCCCTGACAGAACTCTTGACAAGACGTTTTACCCGCCTATTCTACAGTATATGTAATCCCTTTGTGACTGACCCCTACCCAGGTTTGTCACTTCTAAAATAACTAACATTTCCCTGACAGAACTCTTGACAAGATGTTTTACCTGCCTATTCTATATGTAATCCCATTGTGACTGACCCATACCCAGGCTTGTCACTTCTAAAATAACCTTTCATTAAAGCAGAGGTCCCCAACTCCCAGGTCACAGACTGGTCCTGGTCTGTGGCTTTGGAAGGACTGGGCCTCCAGGACAAATAAGCGGTGAGTAGGAGGTGAGTGGTAAACAACACTCACTCCTATTAGGTTCTAATGCCACTGCTGATCTGCCAGGAGACTGAGCTTCACTCCCTGCTCCCCTCCTGCAGCTGCTAGATCAGCTGTGCCTGTGGCATTAGAATCTAATAGGAGCTGATCCAGGAGACTGAGCTTCACTCCCTGCTCCCCTCCTGCAGCTGCTAGATAAGCTCTGCCTGTGGCATTAGAATCTAATAGGAGCCTCCACTCTTATAAGGTTCTAAGCCATTGCCGGTTCTAACAAGAGGCAGAGCTTCAATTGCAGCTCACCTCCTGCTCTTGCTTGCCCCAAATACACCCCCCAGTCCTTGGAAAGAAGGGCTTCAACTAAACCAGTCCCTGGGTCAAAAAGTTTGGGACCCACTACTTTAAAGGACTTGATTCCAGCAATTAACCATACTAGACCAAGTGGTTAATGAATGAAAAATTGTGTTCTTTGTTACAAAGTAACAGCTCCCAGGGAAACAGACTTGAACATCAGCTTTTCTCCAGTTATGCCCCAACTGCCCAAACACAGCCTCCTCCTTTTGTTACACTCTTTTCTTCTCTCTCCTCCTTCGGAGGAGAATGCTATTTAGATTTGTACTGTAATAGGAAACATTCAAGGCCAATGTCTCTTTCTGTAAACCTATGATGAGGAGTGTATGTGCAGCTGAGCATTTAATCATCTCAACTAATCTTCCAGCTTCTGTTAAAGTTAAAAGGAAAACACTTCTGTCAGAAACCTGAAGACTGTCATTTTTCCCAGCCGTAAACTGAAAGTGGATTTCTGCTCGACGGTAGGAGTGATTTGTCGGGCTTTAGTTTATGCACAACATGAATGTGCATATATAAACTGCTTTTTATTTACAGAAGATGAGGAAGAAGAAATATCTCTGCTGCTTAAAAATGATCACAGCTATAATGGGCCTAGTGGTTTTAGTGAGATGAAAAGTAAACACAAGAACATCTAAGATGAGTTGCCATCCTAAAATATCAGAATATTGTGATATTTCAAGAAACTTTCTTCATACATCACTATAGGAGGCTGATAACTTTGACTATGAACTGGGGATAAAATCTCAGGATTTTTTAAAAAGCAAGGGTTGTTTGAAAATTACCACATTGCATGCCTCTCCTTTAACACTGGGTGCCAGTGGGTATCATGCCCTGTACCTGGTATTGATTTAGTAATACATTTCCCCCACACACACCTTAATCACCTGAAACCACTCTTTGCTTCCTGTTTGTTAGACATCTTTCTGTCTCTTCCATTTTATATCTCCATATTATATAAAAGAAAAAATAGCATAGTGATTTTGTACTTTGCAACATTGCTCTTTGGAACATTATTTGGAACAATCTAAACATACTATAAGGGACGTGGTGGCACTGTGGGCTAAACCGCAGAAGCCTATGCTGCAGGGTCAGAAGACCAAGCAGTCGTAAGATCGAATCCACGTGACGGAGTGAGCGCCTGTCACTTGTCCCAGCTCCCACCAACCTAGCGGTTCTAAAGCATGCAAATGCAAGTAGATAAATAGGGACCACTTCGGTGGGAAGGTAACAGTGTTCCGTGTCTAAGATGCACTGGCCATGTGACCACGGAAGATTGTCTTCGGACAAACCCTGGCTCTATGGCTTGGAAACGGGGATGAGCACCGCCCCCTAGAGTCGAACACGACTGGACA